TGGTTACGCGTTCAGTTTTTAACTAAAGCGGCGTTTTCCTAGCAACGCACATTTTACGCAGCGTAGAACGGAATACGGCCGACGCAACGCAACATCCAACGCGTTGCGTAAAAGTGTTTTCCTAGGATTATCAGTTGCGTCCTGATCATCGCGATGAGTGGGTCAAATAATTGTAAAAAGAAATTAGCTTTGGCAGTTTTAATACTGCAAGATGAAATTTTGCAAGAAGAAATTAACATTATAATCACGATTCATAATAGCACTAGAAATTCTGCTGGTCAATTATTTCAGAACAGAAGCAGTAAAGGAGCATTTAAATTACTTATCCATAGACACCTGCTCGACGACGAAATTCAGTTTCATATCCCAAAGAATAGGATAACCACTAACGACATCAATTAATTGTTCGTCCTCAGTAGCACTAAAACGAATTTGTTGTTTTTGTAAAGTCATTTTGTTGCAAATTAGGAGCACATTTCTTTTAAAACGCAGCGTACGACTGAATAGACTGCTCTCCAAGCAGTCGTCCCATTGCGTCGACCGTATTACGCGACGCAAGTCGTTTTTGCGCCCTGTAGGAAAACGACACCATTTGATTTTCATTAGACATGTCCTCAGCGTTTTACGCCGACCAAATTACGTTCTACGCCGCGTAAAATACGCGTTGCTAGGAAAACCCCGCTCAACGCGCTGGTCCGGCTCATGGAGGAAAGATTATTAAGAGTTGCCGTATCTTTATAGAAATTTGGCAACAAGTTTGCTTGCAGCGACCTGTGGAAGCGGGTGGTTCAACTAATCCTACTCTGTCGGTAATATAGTTACCTGCAATATTAGCTGTTCAATCATTACTCTGTTGGTAATGCAGTTGCCCGTAATACCATATTTAATTTGAAAATTGGCGGGCTTATTTTACATCCATTAAGAGGAGCATTTATTTTAACAATTATTATTTTCCATCTAATACGAAATATAGGCATCCAAAATTTCAGTTAATTTTTTTCATTTTTAGTGAAAGAAAAACATGTAAGTGAAGGTAGACGTTCGTTCCTCTGGAGCCACTTTTTTAAAATTTGATCAATTTTGATGGCAAAAATCGCAAAATTTTGTTTCATAAAGACTTTCTCAATTTTTGAGAAAATAAATCAGATTTCAGAATAGTGGCCCCAGAGAAACAAATATTTCACTTTTACCTAATGTACATATTATTCATTCACAAAAAATTAAAAATAAACTAGAAATGTCCATAGCTCTATTTCGTATTGGTTAGAAAAAGATAATTGCTAAAGTAAATTTTTCTCCTCTTAATTATATTTAAAACTTTGCTTTTTTATTAGCTCTTTGTTACAATTATGAAATGCCAATAAAAATGTAAAATTCTATGACAAATAACTATGAGGGGTAAAATAAATACTATACAAAGTTTTATATAATTATATTTACTAAAAATTCCCAAGAAAAATAAATTAAATTAATGGTAATACAACAATAATATTAGATTTTCCTACACTTCAACCTACATGAGTTAAACCCCAAGAAGAGCTTGTGAGTGGCAAGAATAGTTATTATTATTTGCTATGGCACTCTGGGCTGACTTAAAGATAACCGATAGTGCCATATTATTTGCAGGTGAGTAAAACCCGGATAACCCGGCCTACCATCATTATTTGTATATATTAGTTTATTTCGATACAAAGTACAATCTATTTTTACAAATGTTTACTAGTTTCTATAAAAAATACTCCTAATTTCACGAAAATGTTATTCTCTAAAGATTATCTAATGAGTTTGACTTAAAAACATTCTAGTATTATAAATTATCTCCAAATATTTATTATCTTTAAGAAAGTTACTCTAATATCAGAAATATCACATTATTATTTAGGTGTACGTTAACTATCTTCGGTTAAAATAATGAATATCAGAAATTGCAAATAATTCATGTACTTGATTTGAAAAAACTAATTTTCTAAATAACAAAAATATTCTTGTTGAATCTTGGGAAATAAGATAGAAGGCAACCATCCATATAAACTGAAACAGAAAAAAAATTAAATGCAGTAACTTCAATCATTTTGTTTATCTTTTTGGTCTTAAAATATTGCCACAGCTCTCATACTAGGTCTGTCCGGGTTCTTCAAAAATACATTGAGAACTATCAGAAGACTAGTTGACCAGTGGACAGTTTAATAGTTGTATCCGACAAATAATTTGGAATTAAACTGTTTCACTGGTTCTCGGACAGTTTGCATCGAGTTTTAAAGAAACCTGAACAAACCTACATTATAATAGTTTTGAATTAAATTGTTGAAATATCTTTGATTCTGAAATTTTGACTGCAGTTTAAACGTCACATTAGGAATTATAGGGCATTTTTTAATTTGCAATTTTTACTTTTGTTTTCTATAAAATTTATTTAAAAATCCATTATCGAAACGTTGTTCCTTATGTAAGATTCAAATTCAATTGATGAGTGACCGTTTTTGAAATTTTGATCTTCTATATTATTGGAATGTAACACAGGTAATCTGGAGGTGTGATAACAACATTACTAAGTATTATTATCTTTGGTGTATCTGGTTTTGAGGGTGCTAAGCAAGCAAATCTTAGCAGTCATAGTCTTGAACAATTTGTGTTTGTAATCGATTTCGTATCAAAATTATCTCATAATTCATGATTGGTTTCACATGAAATGTTTAAAATGTGGCACCATTCTTTCTTTGATTTGGAAATTATGTATTTTCTCTAGTTAAAGCATCAAAATACCTTTACTTAATTTTAAATAATCCTAAATAACTTATACCTAAAACTAAAATTAATAAAAAATACTCTCACTCACATGTTTTCGTCGGCGGCAACCATAACCATATTGTTTTTTTGTTTACTTTTTGTTGATAGCGCGCGCGTCACCGTGGCAGCGGTCACACGGGGGGGAGCCAGCAGGCATGTAGCGGACATAAAGACAGGTTAACATTGTACAAATAACTAAGTGAAGGCATGATTTTTTAATTTGGTTTAATGTATAAATTAAAATTGTTGAAATAATACTTTTTTGTCTTACTGAGCGAGATGTTATTAAATTATTCAGTGTGCTTTACATTTTAATACAATTTGGTTATTGTAAAACGGACTTCAGAGCACCCAAGCGCCGGGTGGTCTGCGCAGTAAACAGGTTGGCATATTTTGCATATGATTTAAACCCCCGTGGTCCGGCTGGTCGGTTCTAGCCGATTCTAGCTTGATGGCGTCAGCGGCAGATCGCTCACCGCAACGTTGCCGCTGTTTATGTTTAATATTATGACAATTAGATTTTTTTGTGGAATTTTCGGAAGCTTCTCTGATTTTTGCAGTTTGTATTTTTTAAATTAAAATCGTTGTGAGAGCTACCAGAATTGCCTTCGCGAGCTACCGGTAGCTCGCGATCGACAGGTTGGCGACCACTACATTAGAGGATCGAAGGACAGTTAATTCTGACTGGTATACTTCAATTTGTTTGCCAGAAGTTATCGCTGAAATCAGAAGGAACAACATAAACCGGCGAATCATTCTTCATCATGACAATGCAAGCGCTCACACGCACGACGAACTGTAGAGTTTTTGACCAGTAACAACATCCAATTAATGACTCATTGCCCATATTTGCCTGATTTATTGCCCAATGACTTCTTCCTATTTCGACATATCAAAAATAAAATGCGTGGCGAGCGTTTTTCATCGCCTGAAGAGGCTGTTGAAGCATTTAAATCAGTTGTTTTGAAGGTACCTCGCTCAGAATGGCAAAATTGTTTTGAAGATTGGTTTCATCGGATGCAAAAGTGTATAGATTTTAAAGGAGAATATTTTGAGAAGCAATAAAGCGATTTACATGACGTAATTTGTGTTTTGCTTTACATTTTCCGCGAACTTTGGCAGTATCCCTCGTATGAGTAAACGATGAGAAAAAATGATAGTTAAAATATCTACAAAAGATACATGTGCAAATGGAGCTAAGTGAATTTTGTCAACATCCTAAATGCAAATTGGATATATTATGAGGAAGAATAAGAATTGTTTTTTTTTAATGGCAATGCAAATTTTGTCTACTAATCAAATCATCATTACTACAACAATAAAGGTTAACATCTCCGATATTTTAATTTAATTGTAAGTCAAGTTAAATTAAATATCACAACACACTGGCCGCGGTATAAATAAACAATAAAAACATTATTTTCATTACGCTATTAGATAAAATTCTTTGTAATAAAAAATATGAGCTGATCTAAATATAGAACAGACAGGGGGAGTCATAGAAATATATTTTTTAATACGATTAAATAATAAAATAAGGCAAATAAATATATATATTTTTTTTTATATAAAAAATATATGACCAAGTAAGGGGATAATTAGATAAAACGGCTCTTAAAGGTTTTGTGCATTGACAATGGCAAACTGCTAAAACATTTAAAAATATTGTGATCAAGATATAAATATGTAAAGGGTTTGCCACTTGTTCAGGTTAAGTTAGAAATAGGATTAATAAGATTATTTTGTTGTCTCCTCGGTATTTTTTTTTAACATATAGACTACCTGTAGTTGTTTCTTTGTTTCATATGAGTCCACACCACCAGTCAAACACTACCAACCAAACAGACACGATTCAGCTACCCGGACACGACCACCCCTGGAGCTAGCCCTAAGAGATGAATACCGAATGGATCAAAGTGGTGAGACAATACCGGTTTCTATCCCAATAGTACTGGACAATCCGAGAGGTCAAGTGGATTAATCAGTATAGCGAAGTGGTTGTTATCCTAAAAGTCCTGGAAAAGCAACCCTAAGAGTCCAATTAAATAGAACTACTAGAGAAAAGCGAAGGAAGAAGTTATAGGTACCAGCCAAAAATACCTAAACGAGAGTTATTCGCTCAAAATACAGATTAGTCGCCGACAAACCCAGCAGTCAGAGAGAAACTGCATGTAACCAAATCGTCGATGAAATCAATCAGTTATACCCTGCAGTTCAGATTCAGCGAGGTTGGAAACATATTCGAGGGAATTTCCCACTGAAACTACGGCCCGGATCGTCCCAGTCAACCATTGGAACCACGGCTCCCAGGTATGTGTGAACCACAAATCACAGTTCTCCAACCAAGTAGCTGTGATGATGACATTCGAGTCTCCAAGGAGTAGAACAAGCCACGCAGCAGAAGAAGAAGGTGTTCCGCAGGGCTGGATGTGCAAAAGACTATACTTTAATGTGGAGTGTTCGACTATCGGTAAAACGGAACTAGTTAAGGTGTGCGGACTCTCAAAATAAAAATGTGTTTTTGTCAATTACTTCTATTGTTTCTAGTTAAATTATTATTTTCAGGATAGAAAGTCGGGTCGAAGCTTAAGCTGTCGGGGGGCATGTCACGCTAAACAAAATAACACCCTATATATAAAATTCACATGTTATATTTTTACTATATATTGAATAAGTTAAAACAATCTAACATAATATTTTAATAAACATTAGATCAAATTCATAAGTACGTTCTTGCAAAAAGTAAACATTACATTACCTAAACAGGTACTGACCTTATTCCAGTGATATAAAAATCGGCTGGGTCAACAAAACAGACACTCTTAGTTTGAGTCTCATCATCGTCTCGCCCTCGTCGCCTTTAGATGTTTAGCCCTTGGTAAGTCCAATTAAATAGAACTGCTAGAGAAAAGCGAAGGAAGAAGTTGTAGGTACCAGCCAAAAATACCTAAACGACAGTTATTCGCTCAAAATACAGATTAGTCGCCTAAGTTATATTTATTGTGACTTTTTGAATATTTTATTTATCTTTAATAAACTGTTATTTGTTGTTTTGCTCTTTTATTTCCCCGAGTCAGGCACATAAAGTGACTTCCTCACGACCGAAAGGCTCGTGACAATACTCTGCGAAAGAATGCAAGTAGCTCTCAAAATTATAGAACAGTGGTGCAAGGACCATTCACTGTCTATCAATCCCAAGAAGACAGAAATGGTCTTTTCCCCAAGGAAAATGATGAAAATGGAATTAAAGCCTCCTGAACTTCTAAACACAAAACTAAACTTTGCAACAGAGGTGAAGTACCTATGACTCATCTTTGACAGCAAGTTAACATGGAACTCACACTTAAAAAACAGATTCAAAAGAGCATACATTGCTTATGAACAATACCTCCGAACCGTGGGGCGCACTTGGGGTTTTTCCCCATGAGTCGTCGAATGGACCATCATGAGATGGATAAAAGGTCACACCACGTCGAAAGGTATCCGTCTTGCTAATTCACTGGCCAAAAACAGCCAACCAAATACTTTTTGTACCCTGCACTTTTATTGGCCTGACAAAATGAAAGTCAATCTTTTTTAGCAGGTTATTTGTTCCATTTATTTTTTTCAACCTGAATATAATAATCCTAAGTTTAAATTCTTTATAATAAGTTAACTATACAATAATAAATTAAGTTAAAAATATTATCGTGCAGTTTTATTTATTTCTATGACTGTAACATAAGATTTGGTAATAATATTAATTATAAACTCAATTTTCTCAGTAAGTCAGTTTTAAGACATCGTCTGTTTTTCCCTTTGCCCTTCACTTGTAAGTCTAAAAATAACTATATGCCCTAAAACATAGGCCCTATTATTTGTAAAAGTTCCACGTCGTTTAGGTAAGTAAACAAAAACTATAGGCGGTACAATTGCCAAGGAAAATTTGGATTCAAAACCTAGAAATAGGAACGGATGAAATTGATAAAATTTTAAAGAAAAAAACACTAGAATATAGGTACTTAAAACATTTTAAAAATTATGATTTTTATGAATTCCGCCAGGCTAAAAACAATTGCTGTTTTATTCATTTCTTAACCTGGTCATCTTCAGAAGACAAGTAAGTTATAATAATATTATTTTATACCTAATACAAATTTTTTATACAATTTCAACTTAGTACCAAGGCGTAGCACTGCTACATTTTGTTTATACACTTATAACTCGAAATTCCAAATTGTATCTCTGAATTTCGACTTGTAACTTGGAATTCCGACATACAGCTCAAAATCCCGAATTAAAAGTCAGAATGCAATCCTCAATAAGAGCATTTAGTTATTGAGACACAATGCATCTATACTGTTTCCCAGATTGGTGCTGCATGTATTGCTATCTCGGATATTATATTAGTTATGTGTTCAATGTTTCTCAGGATTCTATTAAGATTTCCCCCGCATCTCAGTTATTTCATAAAGAATATTCTACGAGCACTTTTTTTAGGTCTTTATAAGAAAAAATTAAGCGACAGAATATCTCTAACTATTTTCTATATGACTAACTTGGTTTTTTTATGGACGCGATATTGGACTTCTAATTCGAAATTCCGAGTTGTATGTCGGAATTCCGAATTACAATTCGGAATTTCGAGATAAAAGTAGAAAATCCAAGAAAGTAGGAATTCCGAATTATAAGTGGAAATTCCGAGTTATAAGTTGAAATTCCAAGTTATAAGTCGGAATTCCGAGATACAAGTCAGAATTCCGAGTTACAAACGGAATTTGTAAAATATTTGTGGCTGTTCTACACCTTTAAAACTTAGTGATTATGCAGTTTACTCGCGACCGTCGTACCCAAAAATATCGTCTAATGGTTCGAGATTCTCAATGCTAAAAAAAATTATTTTTGTAAGAGACTGTACACAACACATGTAAGCTTAATACGGATACGTTATTATTTCAAGTAAAATCCACCCAGCAACGTCGGAAATATATGAATGGTGGGCTATCAAGTGAGCGTGTACACCTATAGAAATTTGTGACTTCCTCATACTAATTTTAAGGGTTTGTTTTGGTTCAAACAGAACCGTCGATTCCAGTTCTCAAATACAGCGGGAGAGTTAATTTTTCAAGCACACGTCGCGAGGTTATTACAACCTCTTAGCTGATCAAGTGTAATTCAGTGATTCTGAACTAGTTTCCGAAAGAACCAAAACAAGCCTAAAGGAATCTATAGCAGGAGTTGAAGTTGGAAAGGCTTTTGGTAGGAAGAGAGTGGTTAACGTCAAACCATGTCGGACTAATTCGAGAATTTGGTGGTAATGTTTATCTGTCAGTAATGTTTCATAGAATAAGTAATTTTAAATTGTTACCCGCGGAACCAGACAATCGCATGTATTTATGGATTAAAAATAATTCTTAAACAAGCATTATAATATACCAAATCATAATTCTACAAAATTTCAACAGCTATTCATAATTTATTAAACTATTTACCCGAAATTGTTAATAATATCTATAAAATAATTTTGTACGCCAATGAAACGCGTCCACTTCGGTTTGCTTCGCCGTACAACTGTCAATTTCTGTGTTTGAAGTGGGAAAACTGCGAAAAGCTTTTCCAATTTCTGCCCCTGCTATAACAAACATTTGAGTTACACCGCGTTTAGTATAGGGATTACAATGTTGCCAAGTTGTAATCATTGTACCCCACTACGCGTCAACTGCTTAAAAAATATTTTTATTTTAAAAATCTATATTTTTTACCAAAACCGTCAAAAATTCAGCATCTTTTAGAAAATGTTATATTTACATTATATTAGTTTTTAAAAAATATAGTAAGAACCGTTTTCGAGATATCTTGAAATAAATGCATTGCTTGTGTACATGACAGGCTTCAAGAGTGTTAATTATGCACATTCTTATTATTAATATCTCGTTTCACAGACGATAAAAAAAGTTTTGTTTTGTTTTGTTTAGTTTACGTAAAAGACACTTTCATTTGCCTTTTATTTCAATTTTATTGAATTCTTAAGAAAAGCCATTTTTACGAGTGCAGGGTCGACGAGAGGGGGGTAGCCAGGATAAATTCCCGAAGGATCTAAGTTTTTGCTTAAGGACCTTTTTTTTTAGAAATGTGATATTGAAATGGCCTAATTTTTTTTTATAAAATTATCGCGGAGCCCCATCTGGAAAATTGTCCCGGGGCCCCACCTGGCTCTCGGTGGCCCTGTACGAGTGAACTACCTTAAAATGGTAACTATATCCTTGAGAGAGTAAAATACATATTAGTACTCCTTTGAAAGAAAACATTTTATGAACATGTATACATATACTACTCCAAAGCCAAAGAGTTTCGTGTGTCTTCTGAAAATTAACAATGCAGATGGCGAACGCCACAAGCACTATGATGAGCTAAATTTAGTAAAAATAATTTTATAGATTTTTTTCATTTCAAAATATTAAAATAGTCTTATTAGTCTTGTAGATTTAATTACAAATATGTATTTTATAATTCTCTTTAGGAAAAATTTAGAGACTATTTATTCTACCTTCTACTGATGTAGTGAAAGACAGAGTCTCGTCTAGAAGAGATTTAACTTTCAAACAAGTCACTCTTCTACCTCCATGCCCAAAAGGTAATTCCATAGATGTATAACCAAGACAGATAGGATTATTTACAAAATTTTTGAAGAATGAATGGTAGAAACCCAATAATCGGATTGAACATTGATGCCAAGTTTACGTGCTTTTAACTATAGATATATATATATATATATATATATATATATATATATATATATATATATATATAGACATAGAAACGGTCATTGTGCAGCCCATTCTATACACAATCAGTACTTTGTACAGCCCGAAATGACGTTGTTCGGCCCACTGCTGGGCTGAACAACGTTTTACGTGTATATCATTGCCAATCGGCGAATAATACTGTAAGACTCTATCCTTTAAAATTTAAGGAGGGCTTAACATGGGCTCGTATAGCCATATTTTTATACAAAATAGTTCATAGGAGTCGCCTGTTGGTGGCGCGCTAAGTAAGTGTATCTAGAACAGAAATCGCAGATCATTTTACGGTCGTTGTGTAGCCTGGTATTTAGAAACAGTTCGAACACAAACAATAACAAATAATAAGTAATATTATATGTTTATAAAGAAAGAGTGATTAACAGTAGTTGTTTACATTTCTGTTTTAATAATAACGCTGACAAATAATTTGACTTTTTATTAACCGACTTCAAAAAAGAAGGAAATTCTCAATTCGACCGAATATTTTTTTATGTATGTTCAGCGATAATTCTTTACTACGTTAGCTGAATTTTATCATTCGTTTTTTGTTAGAAAGGGGATAGCTCAGGGTTAATTACATATACAGGATGATTTATTAAGCATGGCGACCAGCTGTATCTCAGAATATCTTAAAGTAATTTTTTTTTAAAGAAACAGCTCAAGGCGGGTATCTTTCTATAATATCCTCAACTGTCATATGTGATTCCT